CAGCTCTTCAAAATAAACGCGTAGAAAGGCGGTTTGTTTCCTGAACCGGTCAGCACCTGGGAAAGGTTTACCATATCGCCTATCTGTGTTGGGGCGCGCGGGGCAGGGGGGGGGGGGGACTAATTGGTTAAGGGGTATTTTACCAGATAGACCCCATCATTTATTGCCCTGTGAAGGCGTCCAGAAGTCCAATTGGTGAAAGGTAATTAAACTAGCACTATGTCTGCCTCCGAGATTATCTTTGTAATGTGTGTCTGGGGTGGGTGGAAAGAGACCCACTTAGTGAGATGTTCTGGGTGGGAGACTCGCACTTCGCTTTTTACTCTGGGGTTTGCTTTCTTTAAAAAAAAAAAAAGGCAAGAGAGGAAAAAAAGAAGAGTGAGGGAGTCATTCGAGCCCAGCTCCCACAGTCCGAGCAGAGCAGGAGACCGCTCAAGGACCTCGCCACCTGCCACATTCCGTATTTGGGCAAGCGCGTGCGTCACTGTCAGGAATATGGCTCCCTTTGCCAAGGCCGGCACTAATCTTACGTGTCTGTAAACGCGGGGTGTGTATGCCACGTTCCTTTACAATAGCCAACCTGGTGACTGACTTAAGAACATGCCGCCAGATGCCCTGTCTCCCATTTCCTTATGTCTTTTGTACAGCCCGGGGATTAGGGGGAGGGGGAACTGGCGTGTTCACTGGGGCACTGAGAGGACTGGAGAGCTACCAGGTCAAGATCCTTCAGTGGAGTGCTCTCTATGGCTCGCTCAAGCCCGGGCACCGAAGACCGGTGGGCGTCCAAGTCGGGCGCACCCGGGCCGCGGACCCTCAGGTCCTCGGAGGCAGCCGCCCCCTCTCCACGTGCTTGGGGACTCAGACCGGCTGCGTCCAGCCTGGTTTCCCAGTCGTGTTACGCAACTACTTCGCAGGGGTCGTCTTCGCCCTAATTGTGCCAGGGGCGGTGTTTGTGTACGGAGCTCTCCCGGCAGCAGGGCAACAGATAGGAGAGGAGCGGGACATTTCGGTGGCAGCTCATCCCGGCCGCCGCGCCCCCTTCCCGGTCTCAGGGGGACCGTGGGCAGAAGGAGGCCAAGGTCTCCGCCACGCCCGGGTCGCCGCAGCCCTCGCCTGGGGTTCTGCTGGCAACAGGTAGCCCAGCCCGCTGTGGCTCTCGGGGAAACAAAAAGGTGAACCGAGCGAGCGCAGTGGCCACGGAGGGCGCGGCCGGCAAAGGGCAAAGGGGTCTCGGGGTCCTCCAAGGCGCGTCCCGGTGACTCCGTGGTGCGTCCCGTTGCGCAACGCAGCGCTCAGCGTGGGTCCCCGCGGACAGCGGAGAACAGCTGCGACCGCGGCCAGAGAAGGACGCGGACTGGCGGTGGCGCCGCGGCGGAGGGGACCGGGCGGGCAGGGGCGGGGCGGCGGGGAGCCCGCCCCTGTCGGCGCGGCCAGTGGCTGCGGGCCGGGGGCGGGCGCGGGCGCGGCGATTGGGGCGGCGGCCGCCCGTCACGGCGGGGCTGGCGGGCGGCGACGTAGCGCGGCGCTCGGAACTGACCTACTAACACACATCTCTCGGCGCGGCCACGGCGCCCGCGGACCCGGCGCGCCCGCCAGTCTCCCGCGCCGCGCCCTCGCCACCGCCCGCTGAGGGCCCGGCGGAACCCGGATCGCGCTCCGGCGCAGCCAGCCAGGTCCCGGACGCCCTTTCTTCCCCTCACCGGCCAGGGAGCAGAACCTCGGTAAGCGCTCCGCCCACCGGCGGCCCGGGGGGGCCGGCTCCGTTCCGCGCCCGCTCTCGGAGCGCGCGGCCGGCGGGCGTGGGGTGCGGGACGCGGGCCGGCGCGGCGCAGGGATGGCGGGAGGCGGCGTGTGTGCGCGGGGCATGCATTACATAAACTTTTGCTGCTTTGGCAGGAGGGGGACTCGCCACCTTAAGGTAGCTGCTTTGATTGCAGCGCCCTGGCGCCGGCACGTAGCCCTGGCTGCCGCGCGCTCCCTCCCCCTCCCCGCTATTGCATAATGTCTCCGGATTTCAGGAAAATTGATGTTTCGGTGGAGAAGAGCGCGCCGGGGAGGCGGAGCGGAGGCCGATTCCCCTGGCAGCCAGACGACGTGCCCTGCTCTCCGGGGTCTCTCCGTGCTGGTCCCCTCTCTGGGCCGGCAAGGGGGAGGGTTGAGTCACAGGGAACCGTCTTGATTTGCTTAGAAGGAGGGTTGGGAGTGAGAACGGTGACGGCATTCGGAGATGCCTGCGCGGCGGCGTTTGTTTGTGTCAAGCGCTGTGTCTGCACCGACGTTTTCCACCCCATTTGTCGTCAGCGTGTTTTACGAGCCCTGGGGAAGGTGGAGGGATGTGTCCTTTCTTACATTGCATAATGGGCCCGTGGTGAAACGTGGGCGCCGAGGACGAGCTGATGTGGGGATATGCGCGTATGTGTGCAGTGATTTGGTCATTTTAGCGCAGCATTGGGTATTAGATCCTTGTTGGTACCTCTGTATCGTCCCAAATAAGCATGTTTTTTTTAAAACGAGCCCACGGAATTCATTATTAAGAAAGGAGAATTCCTAGTGTGGGATACGGAGCGCGCGGGGAAGCAGGGCTCCTTAAATGTTCGAGGTGTTATTTTTAAGACCCGGACGAGCCATTGTGACGTTCGTCTCTCCACTTTCCCAACTGGAATACGTTCCGTTCCATCAGCTTTTTTTCTCACCTTATCGTCATTGGTGTGTGTGTGTGTTTTTCAGACACCACAAGACAGATCATTAATAGATTCCTGGAAATGTTAGGTTATGTAACTGCCGAATTTGCTGGCTGTTGAGCATAGAAAGAGAGCTAATTACGTGATTTTATAATCTTGCCACAAAGAAAGTAGGGCAATCTCAGCGTTTAAGAATGTCACTATCAACAGGGGTTTTGTTGGTTCTTTTTAAGGATATTTTAAGCTGGAAAGTGACAACCGACTAAGCTTTGACTTAGCCCATGCTTGCCAAATGTGTGTCTTTTGCCCTAAATGAAATGTACGTCTTTCTAAATTTAGCCCTATCACATTTTAACAATCGTGGCCTCGGTGCTATTTCTGGTGTCTCCAGGGCTGTGTGCAAATACAAGCTCAAGGCCATTTGCTGTAGTTTTAACTCCAGCCTTCCAAGACCTCTGATAAGACTGTATTTTTAGGAAGGCATTTCGCAGCGCCCAGTGACTGCCGCTGAACGCGGGGCCCCATTTATCATTTTAAAGGACACTTTGGAGGAACTGCTGTGCTCAGAGGCCAGCAGGGAATGGCCAAGAGTCATCTTCTCTCTGGCTTTGGTAAATAACAACGGCTAATGAGGTCAGAAGTATTTATTTCACATCGTAATACCCCCACCCCCAGATCAGATATGAGTTATGGGAAGCATATATAGGTTAGTAGATTGTATTTTTGCCTGCGTAACCTAGTTTTATTCATTGGGGACAGATGAATATGTTAAGTATCTGGATATTAAATTTCTTCCCGGTCTCTTACTTAGTGTAATGATGTGTGAATATACGTATTTAATAGTGTCTGTGAGGTATATTTTTCTTAGCGTAACATTAACATAATTGAACTACAGTATTATTTTAGGGGGTGGACACATTGTAGATATTGACCCTTGGAACATATTATTACCCTTATTTCAGCCGTTTTCCAAGATGCTGCAGTTGCGCTAGGTCCCCCGACCCACTTTGCGGGCTGGGGTGGGAGACCCAGGCCTGTGGGGGTGGGGGGTGGCTTTGTAGCGCCGCCTTCCATCAAGCGTCCTAGCTCCCCTCGCTCCCAACCCAGGGACGGGGCACGCTCCTTGCCGTGGCAGGCGGGGACCTCGGCCCAACACGCGCCCCTGGGCAGCGACTGGACGCGCCTCGCGGTGGCCCGCGCGCCTCCCCGCCCCCTCCCCGCATTCCTTTGTTCTGGCGCGGGGGTCCTCGCGGCGCCGAGGCCCCGCTGCGCCGCCCACCCGGCGGGAGGCGGGCCCGGGGAGCGGCGCGGCGTGGGGGCGCGGCCGCGGAGCGGGGCGGAGGCTCGCGGGGCGCCGTGCGCTTCGCAGCGCTCGCCCGGAGCCCGGAGGCCTGAGGCGGAGAGCGGGCGTGCCTCCTGGGCGCAGGCTCCAGTGCAGATGGGCCTCGGGACAGCGCAACCCTGGGCGGCATAGCCAGGGAACAGACTCCACTCCTCAGCACCGCTAGCCGCGCGACCCCCACAGACACCTTTGTTCCTGGAGTCTTCGTAATTCCCCATCCAAGCTCCTCTCCATTCTTGGAGTGAAAAAGCAAGACCTCTAAATGGCTATAGCAATGGGCGAGGGCTGTCTTGATCATGATGGAACGTGATCGGTTGAGCCCACATTTTTATTATTTCTTGAATCTAAAGTCTATATGATCAAAGGCCCTAGGTCATGTATATGGTCAGGTGTCCCTAACTCTAAATCACCCACATCGATGTAGCTGCCCCTCTGTAAAAGTACCTCCCTGCGCTTTCATCCCAGCTGCTGGTTTCCCTGGGTGGGCTCCTGATGTCACTCCCGTGAACCATCCAGGTGTAGGAGGGTGATCAGCTCAGGCTGCTCTCTGTGGAATTCAAGTTCAGAGGATGCTATTGCACATTCTAGGGACCCTCTTTCAACTGGAGAAAGCTTTAGGGGGTACAGAAGGCCCGTCGGAGGTGCTGCCCAGGCCTCTGGCCCCGGGTATGCATACGATGACCCTCACTGGCCTCTAGGGAATCTTGAAGGAGAAACCCTTGGAGCTCGACAGTTAGAAGGAGCTCAATAAATGTTTCAGGATGGTTGGGTCTGGGCTCACTTTCCTTTACTGAACCCGCATCTCACAGGAAGGCCGGGTTGGTATTGGATCTGTGAAGATCCATCCTTTTTTTGTCGCTGAATACTCCTGACTTGTATGTTGTTAACATCTCTTCCAAGGGGATCCTTGACGGCATCAAAGCCCTTCAGCGTCCCAAAGAAGTGGGTTAATGTCTTAGGGAAATCGTCTGAAGGAAGAGAGATGAGTCCCCACAGCAAAAGTGGGTTGAACTTTTCCAGATCCCAGGAACTCTCTGTGACTGTGTTCTCAGGGTTGGCCGATGCTTGCCTCAGAACATCTGGTCTGAGGTCAGTAACGGCTGTTCTCACATGCACGTGTATACGTTCGCCACCGTGGAGGCTACATGTAGCTGTGTGGTTGACAACTAACACCAGGCCCTGTTACACTGTTGCTTCTTCATCTTGTTGAAGTAACTGAGTATGAGGTACCCCGGGGCAGTCTAGACTAGTGCCTTGCAGAAAGGACTGGAACCTGGAGTCATCACAGCCTTGATGATCACTCCTCAGAAATGAGAAGGCTGGTTACTAAACTAGTCAGGTGAAGGACCCTCTCAGCCCCCCCTTTACAAAACAAAGCAGCACTTAGAGGAGCTGGTTAGCAACCCAGGCCAGGACTCACGAAGATGAGAGTTCTGTCAGCCATGTCCACTCTCCTCCGTCATCCTGCCTGTCCCTTCAATGAGAATGAACACAAGCTCCCTGTACTTTGGGAAACAGTTTCCTTTTCTGTGTTAAGGGCTTATCTTGGCAATTATAACATCACCATGATGCAACAGCCTGCAAATTAAAGCCCTTTGTGAAAGGCTGTGTGCTGGTTGAGCAAGGCCCCTGACTCACTGCCGCCAGTGGAGTTTTCTCGCTGACCTTGCCGTGGTCATCAGTGGGTTCTGAGATGCAGGTCTAATTGAAGCGTGGGATGGAAAGGCGCGGTCAGAGTGCTCGGCGTTATTTTTACCCAACTTAAAAATCACACATGCCTCATTATTTCCATTGTAACCCAGATGGCATCGGTGCTGTTAAAAGTTGTTTATTTTTAATTTGTATTGAGGAATGAGAGCACGCTTGGGATTCAAGTCAAACATAACAAACAATGTAATTGAGATTTCCTATAATGCTCACTTCTTGTTTTTGCCAGGTATGCCTGCATTTCACAGGGTTAGCACATTGTTTGATATCCTGTTATTTTTCTAAATTTTATTTGAGTTGATTTTTATCCAGATCAGACTCACAGTGAATGTCGAAAGATACTGACCTTTGATCACAATTACATAAGAGCTTTTTTCAGTTTCAGAATGAGCCTTCATTGCCACCACCCCCACTTACCTCTCACATTTCTTTGCAACTAATTTTCCTGTAGTTACGGGGCGGGGGGGGTTGTTCCTCGTATGGCTTTAATTAGAGTTTAAGCTTGCTTTTTAAGTTTAGTGGGGATTTACTAGATGCCATTCGTTAATAATCCAGGCTTTGAGGACATGGTTTCACCGGAGTTTGGGTGTTTATAAGCCTTTCAAATATCAGAACGCAGTGTATTTTATTAACTTTCTAGGGATCTTAAATGCAATTAAGTAGCCTTCAAATAAACCTTCCACTCTAGTCACAAGGCACACGGCACAATAAATGGCACTTACAGTCGTTTTCTGATTAAGGAAGGAAACAAGAACGTTAAAAGCCAGGCTAGGGAGGTTGGGAATATTCCAGAGTTCTTTCTGCCATGCGCTGTCCCCAGCATGCATCTTTTTTTGTAAACGATGGTTTTTGCTGTTGGGATTTAGACAGGTTGACTGTGATGTTGGTGTCCCTAAGACTTAGGGGAGACTGGAGTTGTAACTCAGTTGGCAGTGTTGTCTGTGCGTTTCCAATGCCCTGGGTCCTCTCTTCAGTGCCCCTAACCCAATGTCATGGTGTGCATCTATAGTTCCACACTTATTCGGCGGAGGCAGGAGGATCAGAAGCCTGTGGTCATAGCAAGACTCCAGGAGAGTTACTAAATTATCTTTTCAAAAGTGTCACGAGTTGGAGAGATGGCTCAATGGTTAAGAGTCCTTGTTACGCTTTCAGAGGACCTGGATTTGGTTCTGAGGCCTGGCATGAGGCAGCTCACAACTTACCATAATTCCAGCTTCAGGGCATCCAGAACTCTTCTGACCTTCACAGGCACTGGCCTTAAGTGGCAGGCACTCACACAGTTATATTTACAAGTAAATAAAAACAGCAAATTCCTTTTCAAACTTTTTTCACAGGCAGTAATGGTTCTTATTTTGAAGCTTCTCTATTAGGTTAAAAAAACACATTTCTCTATACACCCACACACAGCATTCTCTCTCTCTCTCTGTGTCTCTGTGTCTCTGTCTCTCTCTCTCTCTCTCTCTCTCTCTCTCTCTGTCTCTCTCTCTCTCTCCCTCCCCTTCCCTCCTCTCCTCTCCTCTTCTCAGGCTCCATTTTTTTCAAGCTGTGAAGTTGTTTTAATGGGTAGCCCCATGTGCCCTGCTTGTATCCATCTTTAGACTTACTGCATTATGTTATAAGCACTTGCTTCTGTGGAAACTGTCAGTTGCACTAGTTCATATTTCAGTCAGCAAAAGTGTCCGGGTCCATTAATAAAATGTGGGCTTGTCATCTGATTTATTATGTTTAAATTTAATTTTCAAGTAATCCCTTGTTGTTGAACTTGGAATCTTTTCTTTTCCTCTAAGCTGGGTCAGGTCTTGATGCATTTATTTACAGATGCATCCAAACAGAAAAAGTGGGTCAGTTTGTTGCCAGGATAGGGCTAATCTGGCAGGGTAAGAAGTGGCTCATGTGTATGTGCCCCACATGTGCACCAAGCACGTGTTTCTCCTGGCCCTGGGTGTACTTTGGACTGCTAAGTGGCTGCAGGCCCCGAGCTGGGCACTCAGGAACTAGAGTGTTTTGTTCTTAACATAAAACATGAGGGGATTAAAATGCTTCTGCACAAACCCATTGACCTGAATGCAGTCTCCAGATCCAGAAGGAGAGAACCAACTTTGGAGAGTTGACCTTTGATGCGCCCCCCCCCCGTGCCCACACAATAATAGTAAATAAAAGTAAAAGGCCTTTTCTCTAAGCTCACCTCTAAGGAGGTGATGAAGGGATCAATTTGCTTTCCAGAAATTTCACAGGCAGAGGCTGGAGAGAAGGCTCAGTGTCCAGATCTCTTGCTGGACTTGCCATTCAGTTCCCAGCACCACATCGGCAACTCCCGGCCAGCCTCGTCTTCGTTGATTTTGGTATCTGAACAAGGAAGATGCTGGGTGCTTGGTGCTTGTTCATTTCTGTTTCGGGAAAGTCTGACCTTTGAGAGGTCAGAGGTTGGGCCGCACATGCGTCTCTGTTATAATCACAGGGAAACCCCTGCAGGGTAAACCATCTAGAATTTATGTTGTCGATTGGATTCTTTTTGCGGACTTTTCTTAGGTCAGGTCTTATTTTAATTGCTCGGAGTATTTAGGTCATCTGACTTAAATAAACTGCAAGGATCTGCGCTTATGAAATACAGCTCCTGCCTGTAGCAGGTTATAAAAAAGAGTGCAGTGGCAGTGACGGTGTCTTCGCAGTGGGCGTGGGAAAGTATGTCAGCTGGCATGACGCGATGCCTGCTCTTAAATTTCTCTTTTTTATTTGTGTCTTTAAGCAGTCATATTAGCTAATGGCTGTAATGGAGTTAATGGCACTAACAGAGGTAACATCATAGAATTGGCATTTCATGTCAGTTATCCACCAAAAAAGAAACACAAATGGTGACTAAGGTACCCCAGCAGTCGGTGTTGATTTCAAACAGTGACACATGGGTGAAGTCATGGTTGGATTAGTCATAAAGAGAGGTACTGGGATCCAAAGCAGTCATCATGAATGCTGATGGTTTTAGAAGGTGGCCTGGGCTGTGCTGAGGCAATGGTTAAGGGTAAAGTCCCTGCCATTGAATGTGAGGGCCTGAACTGGAATTCTCGGGACCTGTGGGGCAATAGAGCAGGCCTGCAGCCCCAGTGCTGGGGAGACAAGAGAGCAGAGACAGGCAGATCATGGGAGTTTGCTAGGTAGCCCCTCTGTAGAAACAAGAATCTCCAGGTCCACCAAGAGACTCTGCTACAAAAAAAAAAAAAAAAGAAAGAAAGAAAGAAAGAAAGAAAAAAGGAGATGGGTAATAAAGGTGATAGACATCCCAGAGTTAGCCTCTAGCCTTACACACACACACACACACACACACACACACAACACACACACACAACACACACACACACTTCATGTATATTATAATAAAAACAAAAAGATGCTGTCAGCTGCGTTTGCCTGCATGCATTGTTGAGGACAGTAGACTCCCTAGTCATCCTTGCTTCTAACTGCAGTGTGATCTCCTGCCAGTTGCTCATCCTTTCTGTCCTTTGGCTGCTTGCTGTGTGTGCTGGCCAGTTTTGTGTCAACTTAACACAAGCTAGAGCCACTGGATGGAGCCTCAATTATGAAGATGCCTCCATAGGACTGGACTTTAGGCAAGCCTGTAGGGTATTCTCTTAAGCAGTGATTAATGGGTGAGGGCCCAGTCTGATGTAGGTGGTGCCACCCCAGGCAGGTGGCCCTGGGTTCTATAAGAAAGCAGGCTGAGCAAGCCATGAGGAGCAAGGCAGTAAGCAGCGTCCCTCCATGGCCTCTGCATCAGCTCCTGCCCCCAGGTTCCTGCCCTGCTTGAGTTCCTGTCCTGATTTCCTTTGATGATTAACTGTGATGTGGAAGTGTAAGCCAAACAAGCCCTCTCCTCTCCAAGTTGCTTTGGTCATAGTGTTTCATCATAGCGATAGAAACTTTAACTGAAACACTCTACAAAGTCTTTGGAGCAGAGAAAGTGCTCACCCCTGTTGAAATAGATGATGCACTTTTGATTTTGTTCAAAAGGTGGTAATGGGCTGGAGAGATGGCTCAGCAGTTAAAAGCACTTGTTGCTCTTACAGAGGACCTGGGTTCAGTTTCCAGCTCTCACTCATGACCATCTGGGAGTTCAGTTCAGGGAATCCAATGCCCTCTGACCTCCAAAGATACCAGGCAGGCAAAACATTTATGCAAATATAATCTTTTTAAAAAAAATAATAGGGGAGGTGAAGAAACTGCTCAGTGGTTGAGAGCACTGGCTGCTCTTGCAGAGGTCCTGAGCTCAATTCCCATCAATCATATGGTGGCTCACAACCATCTATAATGGGATCTGATACCCTCTTCTGGTGTGCAAGCATATATGCAGATAGAGCACTCCTACACATAAAATAAGTAAATCTGTAAGCCTGGTGGTGGTGGTGGCGCACGCCTTTAACCCCAGCACTTGGGAGCAGAGGCAGGAGGAGCCTGTGAGTTTGAGGTCAACATTGTCTGTCTACATAGTGAGTTCCAGGACAGCTAAAGTTACACAAAGAAACCCTGTCTTGGAAAACAACAAAAAAGATAAGGGCTAGAGAGATAACTCATCTCTTAAGAGTGTGTATTGCTCTTGCAGGGGACCAGAGTTTGGTTCCCAGCACACATGGTGGGCGGCTTACAAACTCTTGTGGTTTCAGTTCCAGGGGTACCTGAAATCTCTGGCCTTTGGGGGCACTGGCAGGCACGTGCACACAGAAACACACACAAACAAATTCTCTTAAAGATAGAATAATGAAAGTGATAACTAGGAGGGTTGGAACAAGTGTAGTGACACCAAGAGGCTGATTATAAATTCAAGGCCAATAGCTGCATATCTTTTTCACTATTTCAACATGGCTGGGACTCGGGAGATTAAAATCTGACTGTGAAGCAGCTCAGGCTGATTGAACGTAGCTCTGAGCAGTCCTTCTTGATGCAGCCAACTTGTGGGGTGAGCCTCAGATCCGTGGTGCCTCCTGTCCCTAGAGGAGCTTTATAGCCAGTGTGTGAGCCTCCACACTAAGAGAGATGAAGGGGGGCTCTGTGTGCCTGGGACTGAAAGGTGGGATGTGGGGAGGATCTGTGAGGGGCCAGAGCCAGGGTCCAGGCTGGCTTGGGGTCTCAGGTTGGTCATCACGTGAGCAGCGGGTCACTAGGCATTCCACTCGCCTGTGTGCGCTTTTGTCTTCTCCTCTGAAGATGCTGAAAGGGCAGGACCTGAGGCAGGTCACACCCAGTGCTTAGAACTTAGTCAGTGCTGTCAGTGACATCTGCGATGAATGGAGGCAGCGGGACCAACACCTCAAGTACATCACGATCCAAGTCCAAGCTTGTGTCAGTCCTCTTCAATTTGGCCCCCACCCCATCTGCGAAACCTGGATTCCTAAGGGCTTGGTTCCCTACTTTTACAGTCTTCTGTCTAGCTTGGTGCCCAGTGTAAAGGTGTTTCGTATATGATCACCACTGGCTCAGCTCTCTTTAGGGACTGACTGATTGCATGTGCATGTCTGCTGCAGCATGAGTGGCGTGCCCTGCAGTCTGCAGAAGGCAGTACTTCCAGACTGGAAGACAAGGCCTGTGTGGAGGTGGTAAGAGATCATATTTTTTACTAAAGGGTGAAAAGCTATCTATTGGCCTGCAGTGTCACCCTCCTTGAAGTGGTGCCCGTTAGAGTGTCATTATCACAAGCAGAAGCCTGCTGTTAACAACCCTTGGGCTTCCTTGAGTAGGGGAGCTGCTCCTGTGTGGTGGTGGCCCAATTTGATGGGTAGAGCCTTGTGTGACATCTCAGTCTTCATGAGTTTGACATTCTTGCTGCCGTGAAAAAAGACAGGCAGGCTTCTGTGAGTGAGAGAGCTGAGGCGCTGGCTTGGTTGTTAGGGTGTTTGCCACACAAGTGTGGAGACTGATCCCCAGAACCCATGTAAAGAGAAGCTGGGCATTGTGGTGTCCAGTTGACAGTTCGGGCAATGGGGAGCTAGAAACAGAGGATCCCTGTAGCTCACTGGCTAGCCAACCTAGCCTACAAGGCAAGTTCTAGGCCAGTGAGAGACTCTGTGTCAAAAAAACCAAGGTGAACAGAACCTGAGGCGTAAGAGCAGAGGTTGACCTCTGGCCTTCAGTGGCACAGGCTCACCAGTGGAGGTGCACAGAGAGTGGGGAGCACTGACATGAAGCACAGACACAACTGTCATGCGTGAGGATGAACCGCACCTTGAAGGGGCCAATAGGGAATGGTGTGTGTAGGTGTGTGCATCTTTGCTTTATAGAGTCAGCATAAGACCCAATGAGAGAGAGTCATTGGCACATAATAAGGATGTATTATCTTGTGGTAAAGTCTGGAGTAGAATGCTTACCTAGCGCTCCCCTGGGTTCCATTCTCAGTGTGTGTGTGTGTGTGTGTGTGTGTGTGTGCGCGCGCGCGCGCACACGCACACATACATACACACATTCGCACATGCAGGCACCCACTCGTGCAGTGAGACCCAATCCATATTATAAATATTTTACTCATGGGTGTAAAAAACAGTTGATATGATTCTATTTTTTTTGGTTCTTATATTTTATTTGAAACTACAAGACTGAAATCTTAACTTTCAAGAGGGTTCTTTAAAAAAAAAGTCCCTCTGAATAGTAACTCTTTTAGTCCAAAGGGCATACATAACTGAAGTCTATTAATCTGAGTTTTTAGGACTCCCCCCAAAACACTGTGGGTGTCAGTATTAAAAGGTCTGTTCAGTGAGCCTGGAGGGCCTTTGCATTTCAGATCTGCTAAGTATGGGCATTTCGCATAAGCATGACATCTTGATGGCGAGGTCAGAGGAGACTGGGGACCCCCAGACCCTCAGGGGTGGCAGGTAAACAGGTGTTAAAGAGTTTACTTAGCCATGTTATCTATTCTGAGGCAGGGACTTGGGTTCTGGATCAGGAACGCACCCTTGATGGGCTGGCTGTCATTTCTGCCTGTGATGAATCATCCTGAATACTGACTGTGGTTGGCCCTTTATCTCTGTTAAACACTGCTTTCTTCTGTGTGACCCAGAGCAGAGGAGAGGAGAGATGGATGGACGGATGGATGGATGGATGGATGGACGGACGGATGCATGGGGCTAGAAGGAGGGATTAGGTGGATCCAAGGTGGGCAGGTGGAGGGAGAGAAGGGGGGGATGGGGATGAAGGGATGGTTTACTGAGTGACAGATTTAGTGACTGGGTGAGTATGCGACTGACTGACTCATTTCCTCACTCTCCTGGACCACACAGTCCGCTGCAAAGAGGTCCTTTGCCCCCGAAGTGGAAGTGTTTGTGTATTTACGTCTTTTTCCAGCTTGCTCACTCCTTAAAGACCTGAGCCCCGCTGGAGCCCATATTCCCTGCCTGCTCAGCCCGCACACCTTACAGCTGCCAGCACACATTTGCCCAAGGGACTCACCATGTTCTCCTTTATTGCAGATAACCAATACGACCTCACCCTGCTTTAACAAGGCACCTGACAGATTTATCCTGGACTGGACAAGAGAAGGAACATTGATGGATGAGAAGCTGAAGCTTTCCAAACCCGAAAGAATACTGGGAAAGTGATCTGTTCTCCTCCAGCGGATCTGTAGGGTAAGGTCCTTTCTGATGCAGCTGAGAAAAATGCAGACCATCAAAAAGGAGCCTGCCCCCCTGGATCCTACCAGCAACTCAGACAAGGTGATGGTACTGAACTCTGCCTTAGCCGAGGTGGCGGAGGACCTTGCCTCCGGGGAAGATCTGCTCCTGAATGAAGGGGGTATGGGGAAGAACAAGTCCTCCGCATGTCGGAGGAAACGGGAATTCATTCCTGACGAGAAGAAGGATGCCATGTATTGGGAGAAAAGGAGAAAAAACAATGAAGCTGCCAAAAGGTCTCGGGAGAAGCGCCGGCTCAATGACCTGGTTTTGGAGAACAAGCTGATAGCTCTGGGAGAGGAAAACGCCACTTTAAAAGCCGAGCTGCTCTCTCTCAAGTTAAAGTTTGGTTTAATTAGTTCCACTGCGTATGCCCAGGAAATCCAGAAACTCAGTAATTCCACAGCTGTGTACTTTCAGGACTACCAGACATCCAAGGCGGCTGTGAGCTCATTTGTGGATGAGCATGAGCCCACGATGGTCGCTGGGAGCTGCATCTCGGTCATCAAACACTCTCCGCAGAGCTCTCTGTCCGATGTGTCCGAGGTGTCCTCTGTGGAGCACACCCAGGAAAGTCCTGCTCAGGGAGGCTGCCGGAGCCCCGAGAACAAGTTCCCTGCGATCAAGCAGGAGCCGGTGGAATTGGAGAGCTTTGCCAGGGAGTCCAGGGAGGAGCGGGGTGCCTATGCCACCTCCATCTACCAGAGCTACATGGGCAGTTCCTTCTCCACCTACTCCCACTCCCCACCCCTCCTGCAGGTCCATGGGTCCACCAGCAACTCCCCGAGAACCTCAGAGGCCGACGAGGGTGTCGTGGGCAAGTCTTCTGATGGAGAAGACGAGCAGCAGGTGCCCAAGGGCCCCATCCACTCTCCAGTGGAGCTGCAACGGGTGCACGCCACAGTGGTGAAGGTTCCAGAAGTGAACCCTTCTGCCTTGCCACACAAGCTCCGAATTAAAGCCAAGGCCATGCAGATCAAAGTGGAGGCTTTGGACGGCGAGTTTGAAGGCATGCAGAAACTCTCCTCACCTGCAGACGTGATAGCCAAGAGACACTTTGACCTGGAGAAGCACGGCGCCCCGGGCATGGTCCATTCCTCCCTCACCCCTTTCTCAGTGCAGGTGACGAACATTCAAGATTGGTCTCTCAAATCAGAGCACTGGCATCACAAAGAACTGAACGGCAAAACTCAGAGTAGCTTCAAAACGGGAGTGCTGGAAGTCAAAGACAGTGGCTATAAGGTTTCCGAGGCTGAGAGTTTGTATTTGAAGCAGGGGATGGCAAATTTATCTGCAGAGGTGGTCTCGCTCAAGAGATTCATAGCCACGCAACCCATCTCGGCCTCGGACTCCAGGTAAATAAATGCCTACTGACTGAGCTGGGCGTGGAGGAAGATGCTGTTGGTACCATGCCGAGCCTCCACTGGACCTCTGATGTCGTTTCACTGTAGGGTGCACATGGTGTCCGTCTGGTGTCCTTGTGCCCACACGCCGAAGACTTGATGCCCTCACCCTGCCTGGTGTGTAGTCAGATAGCCCCCCCGCAGAGGCTGTACATATCGAACGTTATTTTTGCTCTATTATAAAGTGCGTACGGCGTTGCCAGTTTCAATAAAGGGTTGGTGGCAAACACAGCACGGGCTCCATTGCAGTTGATCTGATGGAGAAAGAAAAGGCTACTGCAGTCTCCTAAGGCAGAGACTGGGGAGATGCGTGTCTCAGTGGCCTAAGGTGCTTCCCACACAGAGCCCAGGGGACCTGGCTTCCGTCCCTAGCGTGCGTGTGAAAGGTGCGGCTGCACACATGCCTGTAACTCCAGAGAGGCAGGGAGAGTTGGGGACACAACACACAGGAGGATCCCTAGGGCTCCACTTGCCAGAGAGCCTAGCCCGGGTTGGCAAGCTCCAGGCTCAGTGAGGAAAACCAAGGTGGAGAGTGATGGAGGAAGACTCCCGACCTCAACCCGTGACCCCTGGCCTGACACACACTCACCACACAAAAATTACCAGGGTACAAATGGGTATTCTACCTTTCATTTAATGTGGAGTGGTAGCTTCCCCAGAATGAGAGAAAAAACGCAAATGTTGATTTTTTTTTTTGGTTTTTCCAAGCAATGGTGTGTTTAGAAACCTTCTAACAAAAGGAATAGGAGGGCTTGAGGGTAGAGCGGGGTTGTGCAGCTCAGGGAAGAGAGAGGAGGAGGAGGGAGACGGGGAGTGCTCCTGCACTGGGCACCAGGCACCGAATTATTCCCCACTACGTAGGTTTCTTTAGGACTGAGTTGTCCCTAACTCTCTTAAGTGGAGGACTCCAAGTAGCTTTGTGTTGGCCTCTCCTTGGCCACCTCCCTTTTCAGCGAGGCACATGGAGCAGTGGCTGAGTCACTGACCCACTTTACCGGCTGGAAGACAGCTTTAAAGGAGGATAAAGACAGGATGAAGGGGGTGGGTTTTGTTATTTGTTTTTCTCACTACCCTAAAGCTTAGCAGTTCGAGAGTGTGGCCATGCGGAGGGGGAGGCCTTAATACCATTTAGATGTCATTAAAGGAATTTGAGACCCCCATCAGTTACCACACAACATCTGTATAATTCAGGGGGTATTTAATGACTTGCTATTGAACGGGCTGCAGGTAGAGTTGGTAGAGTTCAGTGGCAGAACACTTGCCTACCACGTGTCAGGCCCTGGGCTCTATCCCCATCACCTCAGGTCGCCTGGATATGTCAGTGAGAAACATGAATAATGCCTCTCCATCTGTAGGCATTAGAAATCATAACACGTGGGTCTAGAAAACACGATTCCCCAGCGGATCGGAGAAAAGACCATGCCTGGCTATTCGCCCGGAATTCTCCTCTGTTCAAGAAGCAAGTGTCACGAGACACAAGCCCCAAGTGTGCCTGCCATGTGGCGGTTGGTGTCCTGTGTCTCTCGGGTAGAGTGGGTGGGTGACAGGCAGTGCCCCAGTGGGTCAGTCCTCACCCAAGGGCTGTCTCCGAATTCATCGTCTCGAGGTGCCGAATATGAGGAACCATTGCACCCCGACTCAGCCTTGCTTTTGGCCTGTGCTGCACGGCCAGCCGTGGTGACTGGAGGCAGAGCAGGTCTGGCAGTGGGCCCCGGTTGAGTCTTTTTGACTCCCCACATCCAGCCCAGGCCTGGTGCTTGTTCTAGGCTGTGTTCTCTGCATTTTCATAGTTTATACTGTGGTGCTTTGTGTTCAAGGGACCTCCTGCCTCACGCAGACACACATACAGAGGCCACCTATCTATCCTTTAGCTGTGGACCTCCACTTCTATCCAGGTTCTTCCGGTTTTTCTTTGGCTGTCCTGGTACTCGCTGTGTAGATCAGGCTGGCCTTGAACTCAGAGATCTGCCTGCCTCTGCCTCCCCAGTGCTGGGCAGTCTTATTACAGGCTGAGTTGAGGCCTGAGATAGTTGCCCACAAACGCTGTAAAGCAAAGATGTAGGTCTAGCAGACAGAACAGAGTCAAAACACTTCAGCAGCACAGAATGGACAGGATGAGTCACCCAACACGAGCTGTAGGAGAAACAGGATGTAGAGTTTTCCTACAAGGGAAGAAGTATCCAGGCCCGGGCTTGTAGCATGGCAGTACATTTGAGTAGTAAGCTCAAATGTGCAAGGCCTGAGATTCAATTCTTAGCCCTACAAAACAAAAGTACAATAAGGAAAAAATAACTACAATAAGGAGAGGGGAATTCCTTTAAGCTTGCTGAGTCAGAGCCCTGTGAAATAACATGTTGTGTCTATGTTGACACATCCAGACAGTTGTCCCCTGTCTCTGCAAATGCACTCAGAGGGACAATAGAGAACACAGTCTATGGCCGTGCTACCCTGAACCAGCCCAGTCTCATCCAGAAAGTGAAGCAGGGTTGGGTCTGATTAGGACTTGGATGGGAAAACATTTTCTGTAGGGGCTGGAAAGATGGCTTAGCAGTTAAGCTCATTTGCTTAATTGCTCTTCTGGGGGACTCCAGTTTGGTTCTTAACACCCTCATTGGGCTGCTCATGACCATCTGTAACTCCAACTCCAAGAGATCCAACACCCTCTTCTAGTGAGCTCAGATACCCACTGCACATGGTTCATGTGTGTGCACGCGCGCACGCACACACACACGGTCATTCCTAACAAGATGTGGGCAGTGAGCATTGCAGTCATAAAGATATGAAAACATATGAAGAAAAATGTTGGTCAGGTATCCAGAAATGGGCTCAGTCTATACTCTGGGGTGACAAAAGACATCAAGAACAGGGCCAAGGGCAAAAAATAAAAGTGTTTTTTTGTTTTGAAGGGTTTTTTTGTTTTTGTTTTTGTTTGTTTGTTTTGTTTTTGGTCTCCAGGACCATGAAGAGACCACAGACCACAAGCACCTTCCCAACCTTGACTGCCACTGTTTTGAGCTGGCCTCAGGAGTACGGTCCCATAGGAGTGGCCTCCATGCCCAGCTTGTCTCCCAGATTCATTGTCAGATGTGAGCGGTCACTGGGGATGCAACCCCCCATTGTTTTATCTCCCCTCTTCTCTTCGTGTCACTTGGCCTTAGCATTTCGAGATCCTGCGTTATCTTTAAGATGACTAAGATGTCACCCCTTGAAAATAAAAGGAATCTCACCAACATGTGAAGAACCAGAGAAAAAGTACAATAAACTAAAGCACTTCTACTATGAAAATCCCTCTGTCCCCTGCTGTCCCTGCTGGGGTTGGAGAGGTAGCTTACTTGGTAAAGGACTGCCAAGCAAGCAAGAACACCTAAATTTAATCCCCAGGATCCACTTACAAAGCTGGAGGTGAGGCCAGGCATGGCGGCACATGGCTTTAATCCTACACATGAGGCAGAAGAAGGTGGAGCTCTGTTAGCTCAAGGCCAGCCTGGTCTATATAGTGAGCTCTGGGACAGCCATGGCTACACAGAAAGACTGTCTCAAGAAAGAAAAAGAAAGCCAGATATGGTGGTGTAAGCTTGTAATCTTGGAGCTTGTGAGGAGGATCTCTAGGTCTCACTGGCCAGCCAGCCTGGCCTAATAGGTGATTGCTGAAGCACATTTGACATTGGCCTCTGGCCTGCACACCCATGTTCACATACACACGATCACTGGACACTGGCCTCTGTCCTACACACACACATTCACATACATACAATGGAAGTTTACAGCTGTGCACAGCCTTGACTTTCTAAAGTTAAGGAACATGCACCTCAGAGCACCAAAAATTCTCAGGAATGTCCAAAATGCAGCTCTCTGATCTATAGACAACAGCAACTGAGTCTGTGCAGAAAGAGTAACCACTGTGCCAAGATTCTGAGAGGGTCCCTTGCAGTAGCTTTTCCAGCAGCCAGCAGTGCAGGGCCCATGATCCAAGCCCTGTGCCTGGACAAGGAGGGTGGGCAGGAGCCAACGTGGGCCACTTCAGAGGAGGAAAGGGCAGCTATGGAAGAAGGGAGAAGATAAAGGGGCTCTTTCTTGAGAAGTCGTAAGAGCGCCTAAAGGCTAAGTACAGTGATACATACCTCTAATCCCCACACTAGGGAGGCAGAGGCAGGAGGATTACAAATCCAAGGCCAGCCAGGGCTCCACAACAGGAACCTGTCAGAATTAAGAACAGCAGGAAGCTGTGATTGACATGTCTAGTTTTCTATTGTACCATAGGTGTATAATGGTTTGTTTATTAGCTTCAAGGGAGGAAACATTTGGAAATAAAAACAGCTCACTTATTTGTGAGTTCCTGTGGCTGCTTACACACATTACCTTCTGAACAATTGAGCCCTCATCCATTGATACCTTTCTGCTATACTGGCATTTTGCTGGTTTTAAAAAAGAAACTGTTTGATGTCTTGTTAGAGTTTAGGAATGTGGGTTAGGTGCTTATACACATTCAACATCATGGCTCTGTCTCCAGCAATGCATAAACAGGGCATGGCCATTCATACCTGCAATCTCATCACGCAGGAGGCAGAGGCAGGAGAATCAGAATTTCAGGGTCATTCTTGGCCACATTGGGGTTTTGATATCAGACTGAGTTAGAGATCCCTATCTCAAACTCACGCACGTGCAACACACACAGAGCTAGATTTTTTTAAAGCTGGAAGCTATTAAAATCAATTTTGAAAATTAGAAAATCCTCACAGATAGAAGTTGCTGGCAGTCCCAGGTGGCAGGGAGGGACAGGAGTCGTTGATGTTATGTAGTCACCAATGATCTGGGCTGTATCCCATCAACCACCTGGGCCATAGAATTTCAAAAGAGGACCATTTGCACTGATGGGAGGTTATGGGAGCCCCGGGATCCCAGAAAGAATAAGGAGTGGCGTAAGCCTGGATTGTGAACCACAGTCCTAGAAAAGTAAAGTAGGGTGTCATGAGAAAAACATTTGGGATACAGCTGGCCTTACTCTGTCTGTGCCCTGCAGAGGGAGCTAGTGTGGATTCTAGCAGGAAAGGCTGAATTCAGTAAGTGATGGGATAGATGAGGAAGAGCAGGTGACCGTGGGAGGTGACAGAGAGAGAGATCCCCAGGGCTGCTGGTGGGGAGCAGAACTCACCTCCACTTCAGCCAAGTGTCCCCAGCATATCCATGCCACTTCCCCCGTGTATGAAGATTAAGGTGACTTTGAATGAGAG